TCTGGATGTGGGAGTACAGGCTACCTCATACATTAAGTTTTTTCTTGGCACCAGTGAGTTAAAAGATCACTTTTCCAGCGCTTGATATTTTGCAAAGCATACCCTGCCCATGTAAAAAAGGAAACGGACCCAAGACAGTCTCTGGGGATGCAGCTCAACATCTTGTAACAGTGAAGGATGCAAGGCCCAGATCCTTATCACGAGTAGTTTAACTCTAGTTTGAAAGGTATTCACAACTCCGAAGTGCACAGAAATAATGATAAGGATGACATAAACAAGGGTTTATATATTGGGATAGGCTTCTGTAAACTGAGGTCTGACTGGTAAAGGAAATCTCTCAAATGAATGAGCACTCAAAAGGTGAGGGAGCTCTCCATCCAGGCTCAGACTGAAACTGAATAGTTATCTTTCTTACGTTGGGTGATACTGGAAGTCAAATATGAGACCCGTGCCAAGCAGCATTGTCTTTGCATATGTCAGTGCATACATGTGTACATTAAGCCATGCTGAGTCACTATGATGTCCAACCACATCCTGTGAATATTTGCCATACATTGAGTACAGTTTTCAGTAACTTCTATGTTAGCCATTGCCAGTGCTAATAAGTAACTATCTTCACATATAAAAAAATCCATTCCAGCTCCACCATAATTTAATTTAAAAATGTTGATATGGGGGAAACGAACACAAAACTAGGTCCAGAGTCTTCCTTCCCTGATAGTTCTCTACGTTTCTGCTCAGAAAAAATACTAGGCTTCAGGAGAGCTACTGCACTCTTTTTTCGCTTATACTCTGGTTTGTTCACTTTATTTCATTTGTTTACATAGCTCATGTTTCAATAGCATCAGCCTGACCTTCCATCTCCTCTTATGAAACAAAATGCACGTTTTCAGGTGCACAATTTAGGTCAGTCAGGTGTAGACTACACAAATTTCAGACAAAGGCCAGTGGTGGCAGAAAACACAGCTTGACAGGCTATAGGAAGCCTTGGTGGAATTGAGCCTTAGCTTTGCAGTACTGAAATGGAGAACTGGCAGCATTCACTCTCCGTGTTCTTAGCAAGCAGGTTTCTTTGTTAATAGAGCATCAGTAGCTTACCCCCCTCACAAAGTTGAAGAGTTATTCCTGATCTGGTGATGTTACCTTCTGTTTTGTATGTTGAAACATAGTTGATGTATTAAGGTATTGCTTCTGTTTAGAAAAGAGTGAAAAGTTTTCCAGATACTATGCACAGGCCTCCTGATGTGTTCATGGAAGGGAATCCAAATCCTGCACTACTACAACTACTCTGCTGAAAGTAAAGAAACAGAATGACACCTTTCTCTGCAAAGCTCTAGGCTCTGAGTGGCTTAAGCTAGGTACAGCCTTAGTCTTTTCCATTTCCATGGCTCAATGTAACCGTCATGATTTAAGACCTAAGCAGAAAGTAGCCAGCCAATTACTTGCCCAGTGTGTAATTTACTGCAAATTCTGCCCTTTATTCAAGAAGGTTTCAGGGCAATTTTTTATTAAAGTGTCATTTCACTGGAGGTAGCTGTTCTGGGAAGACATTTACATTCTCAGTCAAACTTGGAATAATAAGCCTACCTGAGTTAATATGGGACTATGCTTAAAGTCTCCTAAACAGCATACACTGAGTGAGGAGTATAAGAAACATTAGTTAATCCCATAATTTTACCTTCCTTCTGCTTCTTCTTTTCAAACTATTTGGACAAAAATTAATATCAAAATCATGACATCAATGCTAGTTCACACAAAAGAATACTAAACACTCCACTCAACTAATGTAAGGAGGGCTGAGCAGCCCTCATGTATCTGAAAGCTGGACTCAGATATGACTGCTGATTTTGGGGAATACTGGAATAATTTGACCCAAACCAAAGAGGTATTTATTCAGAATGGATTCTTCCTTCTTACCAAGCTGTAAGAATCAGCTTGGTAAAATACACACAGCACTTGTGTAACAACATGTAATACAAGATTACTGAACTTTAACAGGTGTGAAAAATTGAAGGAAGAAGCACTTCCAGGAGCTCTGGGGAGCAAGTAGCACACCTCTGCTGCCCTCAGATCTTGTCCTTGATCTCTGATTATACAAAGCCAGATGAAACTTGGCTATGTCATTGAAATATATATGCATAAACCAAAGTAATGCAGAAACCTTTCTGTGTGCCAGGAGCCCTAGCCAGATTGCTCATGGATGATGAGAGAGTAATTTTTTTCAGTCCAATGGAGAACTCAAGAGAGATCTTTCTTCACAAATAATTAAAGGATTTATCTAACTAGGAACTGTCAGAAGCCAGAGTGTAAGCAGCCAACACGATGATTTTCCTTATTCATCTTTTAGTGCATCATTCTGTTTGTTGGACAAAATAGAAACTAGTGAATTTATTCATAAAATATTTTCATTGAAATAAAAACATTGTCTCTCCTTGGGGAAACCAGTGCTATAGCTTTGCAGGACATCTGCTCAGCTCTGAAGCTTTTATAGACAAAAGCCCTCATTAATTTAGACAAGTGGGTTTGTTTAATGTTAGCTATGCAGTATGATAAATGGCTCACTTCTGCTTTGCCAGTGATTCCTGAGACAGGAAGCCTCCTTTGCCAGCACATCACAGAAGTGGTTGAATTTAAATATTCCAAAAACCACGCCAAAGAAAGTCTCTGGTCAGAGCAATTTGTTTTCCTAACACAAAATGAGTGCTTTCTAAAATTTAGTGCAACACATTGCTAAAATTGTGGTTTTTAAAAAGTTGGTTCAATTCTCTAGCAATTCCGCAACCAGCCAGTTTTTGCAGCTTCATATGTTATGCTAAGAGCAGATTTGCAGGAAATGTTCTATATTATCCTATACAGGCCATGTCCCTACAGTCAACTGTATTTCCTGCATTTAGTCCCTCCTAACTCTTTACCCTCTTCTCACCCAGCTGGACCCCTAAAAAATGAGTCTGTTACCCCCTTGGATCTTTGAAGAACCTTCACAGGTGCCATAGAACACAGGTCAGCTCTGCTTGCTTATAAGGACTACTATCACATTATCTTTTAAAATCCTTGGGAAGAGGGACCAGCAAGGAAGTTGTTCCAGGAAAAAAGAAAAGTTCTCACTCTGTGCAGCTCTTCCAGAAACCTACAGCTAGATCACTGTAATGCACAACTCTTACTAACTACTTTCAGAAGTAAGCTGCTTTTCTGTGTTATGTATTAACTTCTGCTGTGAAGTCTCCCTTTGGCATGTCTCACTTTTCAGAAGAAAATTCCCCTTGCTCTTCATTGAATAAGCGAAATATGCCCCAGCAAGGTGCCTGATTATGTAGGAAGGAATATTTCTGCATTTCATTCAGGTGTATTATCTTCTTGTGACTGCACTATACTGCATTGCTTCTGCTGTAAGACTAACATTGAAGCCCCACAGAACAGGCAACAACTCCAAAAGGAGTAATAATTATTGGTCTGCCAGTACTGTGGTTCTCCAGAAAAGTCCAGGACTCTGCTCATATGGGCACTTTCTTCAGTGTTTTCCAGTGCCTTTCACCATCTTTGATACTTTCAGCCTTGCCTTTCCTGCACCTGTGGGAATCCCAGTACTTAAATGCAACCAACCCATTCCGGAGTCAGCTTTTAGATGGAAAAAGTCTTAGATAGCTTTGGCTGACTGAATTGGAGAAATTAATTACAACTGTTTTCCATATAAAATATAAGTGTTAGGATATTATACCAGCATGAACAACAAGCATTTTGTACACTCATTATAAGAAGAAAACAGAGCTCAGATAAAGACACAGAACAGCCCTATATTTCCACCAGGCCTCCAGCAAGTCCCTCTGGTACCTGAAGCCCTAGAATCATTGGAAAAGTCATGTTTCAATAAACTACTTGGTATCTACTTCATTTAATCCGTGTCATTCTATATATTCTATATAGTGTCTGCATCAAGTATTCCAAAGCTGTCACATATACTTATGAAGACATAGTTTTAAATAGGAGTATAGATGTTTTTATTTTACCAGCTTACAGGCAGTTATAGTGCTGACACATTTCCATATTTTTCAATGAAATGTCAAAATAGTTTTTACTATAACAACAATGCTATTACTATATCAGCTGCAACAAATGTTCAAGCTGATATTTACCAAATACTCTCCTATTGTAGTCACTGAAGATGGTACTGCATACTTGAAATTATGCTTTCCAAGGGAATTATTCAAACCTATAGGACTGAAACATTGTCCAGTAGTACAAGAACTTTGACCAACACAGAGGGGTGTTACTCAGTTCCAGTCAACATTAAAGGAAATGCTGCTTGGAGATAAGCCCATAAGTCCTTCCCTAAGTTTTGGTGGAACTGGAACCATAAGCTATTTTCTTTTTGGATGGAGAGGATGATATTGGATGAAGGACAGATGGACATCCTCCCTCCTTTCGAGTTGCAGAACTCCCTGGCAACTCCCTGAAGACTATGCTATGCCACAGGGTTGAATGACAGGGAGGTTCAGGAGAATTTCTGGTTCTGGTTCTGTGGTAATGGCACAGTCAGAGGCTCCTTCTGGCCAGTGCTTTGTGAGGGGCAGCTTCCTCATGTGAATGCAAGCATTCAGCTCCACCTGGGAAAGCTCCTTCCCTTCTTGATAAATGTGCACACACACTCAAATGCATGCATGCATAACCATGGTCACACATGTGGGGATCCTGGGTGTTGAGGACTTTAGCTTAACCATCTCTTAAACACCTGTTCTTTTTCTTGTTTACTCTTACGCTCTGTGTCACAAGAGTAAGTCCCCATGCCAACCAACCAGATGCCTTTTCATTTAGATTTCAAATTTGCCTGCTTCTAATATTTTACTCCCAGTGCACACAGTCGTATTGTGTAAATAATTCAAAACTTCCTAGCAAAACTGGGACATGTGGATACGAAGAGCTGTGATTAGACTGGTAATCTGGAAGTCTGAACAATTTCAAAAGTTCAAAGAAAAAAAGTATTGAAAATATCTTCTATTCCCAAGCTGGACAACACTCTGAAGGAATCACTGCTGCTAATAATGACAGCAGTTTTGTGGCTCTATACACAGGAAATCAACTTCTACTAGTAAGCATTCACTATCAGCTATGGGGCTAAGTATACAGTAAAAGAGTATAGTTCAGTATTCAGGCTTTGCACTGTCAAATTGAGTTTCAAGAAACAGAAGCATCTAAAATACAGTGAGAGCATTAAATTAAAAACAGATCCCCTGGGCAGTTGTGGTTTCCACTATTTAATTTTTCTAATCGTTGCTCCTCCAAAGTCTCTAGGACAATATCAGTATATCCAGCAGTCTGTTTCATAGAAAGCATTTCATAAAATTGATATGCAAAGAGAACCTATTGAGAAAAAAATTAAAAGGTAACTTATTGTCAGTTCTTCCATTCTGCCCCTTAAAGCAGCCTCCAGGCAGCATTTAGAGGACAATTTTTGACAATGCCAACCCAATACCAGTAACTTTATGTTATGAAACCAGTACCTGACTGGTTTCCTTTGTTATTAGCTATTGACTTTCTCATCTTTCTCATTAATAATATCAAGTCACTTATTTCCTACTTTAGAATATCTTAAGGTTGCCTCCAGTCACTAAGAAGTATATTTTCTCCTCAAGCAGGTTTTCAGAAAAACACGGACTGCAAGAGATAATGTATGGGCTGCAAGTCAAAGGCACGGTTTTGCTCCTAAATCTGCAATTGGTTTGCTGTGATGTTTTTGACAAGTTGCACTTTTCCCTGCATGTCTGTTTTCCTTTAATCACTATGTTCACTTAAATGATTCTCAAGGTGGGAAATATTTCTTCCAAGGGCAGGGCATTTGAGTCAGCTTTTTCTAATTTTAGAATCATAGTTAGGTATTCAAACCCCAGAAGAGCAATGAAGTTTTCAGTCTCTCATTTTGTAATTAGGGTTACAGAATTGCTCATCTAAACAGGAGGCAAACAGCTGACCACCATTACAAGGTTAATACCAAGGTTTTCCTGCTGTTAACAGGACTATGTTGGGTTTTCCTTTGGTCTACTGGAAACCTTTTTTCCCCCCACAAAGATCAAAAGTATGGATTCAGCTTGTAAATATGGTAGCCAAAATACCCTGGCATCAGATTTTTAAAGTCAACAATCAAGGAAACACAGTGTGCATGCACTGCCAGTAGCAGCAGAGTTGGTTTTATTGTGTTTATAGAATGTATTACCAACAGAGAACCTGATGACTTATAAGCACTCCTTCCTACAATAACCTTTTAACAAGCTCATTTACAATAGATTGATCAGCCTAATCCAGGAACTTTTCTGTTTTCCATGCCCTCTTTTCAACTCCCTTAGTTGTGTTACTCAGGGCATGCAAAATTTAAAAAAAATATATATCTCTTCAACTGTATCCTACTACTGTGGTAGCCAGTTTCTGAGAAACTGTGAATGCTCAAGGCTAGTTCAGAAAGAAAAATTGCCCAGGGGAATTTTATGAGCTCAAGAGCTAGAACAGAGGATTGACACCCTTTCCAGGCAGCAAGGATTCCTTGGTGGTGGTCTTTCAGTGCTCCCGTCACTATGATTCTTAACAAAACCAAAATTAGAATACCTCATTTTGCCCACACCCTACTAGGAAGTTTGTGTTCATAAGAGAAAAAGTACTCCCAGCAAGCCAGAATGACCCTCAGGATAAACAGAGTGAAGAGCTGCTAGTGCATTTTCCTTGTAGCTTGCAATTCTGACCTTCTAACACTTTGCTGAGGAACGTGGCAAATAAATCCATGGGATGTGTCATTTGTAGTGCTCCTGGCAAGAAGAAATGCAAACTACTCCTCAAAGAGGTCACTTCCTTCCTCTCCAGTTCAGACATTTTTCAATATCCCCACTACTAAATGCAAAATTAAGTTAGTTATTGTATAGACATGTGGTTTAAAGACTGCTTTCCTGGAAGTGTTAAAATCCATTAGACACTGTTAAGTACTGTAGACTGGCCTTAGGGGATTGAAAGTCAATTTATCTCCTCTCTGGCACTGAAGGAGGCAGGGTAGTGAGGGCAAATGTGAGTGATAGCTTGTTTTCCTTTGGTTCCACTTAGCCAATCAGCATGTACCAGGCTTGGCAGAAAAGGGACAGCTCTGAAGAAGGAGTGCAGATCAGGAAAAGGCCAGATACAGAGGGACATTCATTAGCTGCTAACCAGGTAGGGACCCAGCTTTGTTCACTGCATCCAAGACATAACCCTGTGACACTGGATTAACATGGCATACAGCAAATCTGTGGAAGTGCAGTCCCAGAAGACAGCAGGATTATGCTCCAGCTCCACCAACATGCCATAGTGACCTGAGTGACCAAGCCAGAAAAACATGCAGAGATGGGTGTGTTTCATGAATGGGCAGCTTTGGACCCTCTAACAAGAAAAATGAGGTTTGGATTCCCACTATTATGCCAAATGGTAACCTGTATGGTGGTGTGCTTTGGCCTTCAGCCTACACAGCATCCAGTTTTTGAGGAAAAGCAGGAATAAGGGTGTCTGTGAGTAGGTCTGGCAGGCAGTCTGGTCCTCACAGGTGCATAACCAAGATACCAAGGCAGTAACTGAGACACTTAAATGTTAACCCAATACAGCTTACAAAAAAGAATATGGCAAAACAAATAAAGTGAGTAAAGTGGAGGACACTAGCTCAGAAAATTGACCAAGACTGGTTTACTGGTTTTCCCCCAGCCCTGACAAACCTGTGAATTCCCCAAGCTGTTGGCATTAGGCAAAGCATCACCAGCTGGTCAAGGGAGGAGATTGTCTCACTCTGCTCTGCCCACTCTGCCCACTGGGGTGGCCTCACCGTGAATCCTAGGGGCAGTTTTGGGTTATACAATGTAAGAAGGACATTAAGCTCTTAGACAGCATCCAAAAGAGGGCAAAAAAGGTGGTGAAGGGCCCAAAGGGGAAGCTGTATGAAGAGAGCTAACTTTTTCTGTTCAGCCTGGAGGAGACTGAGGAGAGACCACATTTCAGTCTACTTTTGAGGGGAAGAGAGGGGGCAGGCACTAATCTCTTTCCTATGACAGAATCCATGGGAATGGCCTGAAGTTTTGTCTGAGAAGGTTTAGGTTGGATATCAGGAAAAGGTTCTTCCCCCAGAAATGGCTGGGCACTGGAACAGGCTCCACAGGGAAGTGGTCACAGCACCAGCCTGACAGAGCTCAAGCAGCATTTGAACAATATTCTCAGGCATATGGGTGGGACTCGGAGATGATCCTGTGGAGAGCCAGGAGCTGGACTCTATTATCCTTGAGGGGCCTTCTAACGCAGCTTATTCCGTGATTTTGTAAATCTGCGGGTCTATGATCCTGATTCTCTTGTCCTCTCCTCCTGCTAGAGCAGTTAGTTTGCATTTGCAAGACAGAAAGTCCTTTTTCCACTGCAGAGTGAAACACTGTTCCTCTTAGTGGGCTAGTACTGCACAGTTCTGCCTCAAGAAGGTTTTGCATTCCTTTGAGCCTACTCCTCACTCCTGTTTGTGAGTTTGTGGCAGAAATGTTAGGATCCCAAAGCTTACAAAGAGGAGATGTGAGGCTCACGGCCTGTAATTCTCTCGAACCAATGTATAAGCATTGTTCTCCGTATCTTATTCAGAAATTTAACTGACCTTTACAACACAGATAGGACAGCACTTATGTCTTTGTAGAAAACTACAGCTTTCCCATGCTTAAGTGTGTAATGGAAGCCCAACTGTGCACACATACCAAACTGAGCCTGAGTACAGGAAGGCTTTGCTATTTCTGGCAAGTAATGATAATGCAGGCATAGAAAATAGCAACTTTTGTAATACTCATCCTTTTTTTCAAGAAAAAGAAAGTGTATGGTTGTGCAGGTCTTTCAGTGGAATAAAAAATCCTTATATTTGAGTTCTTTTGTACATCTTGTCTTTTACTGGTTATTTGTGGTCTGCCTTGCAGCTCTTCAGGTTGCCTTGCAAGTGCAAGGACTAGTAGAGACCAGCTCTATACATAGTGACTATTCTGGGTACAGAACAGAGAAAACTAGTCGTAAATGTGTATAAGTAGAGCTGATAGAGAAGCAGGCATTTACAGAGACAACAGATAATGCTGAGTCAAATCTCAGCCCTGATATTCAGACAGGACTGAGCCTATTTCTTCGTATGTCCACATGTGTTTTCAAGTGAAATATCCCAGACCATTAGCACCTCAATTTTCCACTCTTATTCAGATAAAGACTACCGCCCTATTTCTTATGCTCAGTTCCCTGAACTGCAGAAAAATAAGTTTATTCAAGTTTTAAACCTGGATTGATATCTGATTAGCATGGGGATGTGCCTTTTAGCATACTAATAGCAAGTTCATAACAGCTTTTTTTCCTTCTTAATATTGGTTAGCTGCAGAAATTCTGGTTTAGTCAAATATTATTCAAACATATCCTAAACAAACATAAAATTACTTGACTGACACATGGGATTTTCCCTCAGAAATTCTTTCCCTGGATTTTCACTCTAATCCTTGCAACTTCTTATTCTTTTTTTCCAGCATGTGCCACCGCCTAGATGCCCTGCTTGGTGAGTTCTACTTTGTAAGACCTCCAAAACTCTTCATCATTAAGGTCTGGCTTTTTTCCCACAATCGTGGGACTTTTGTAGATGTCTTTCTACAATTTGCCAGTGTTCTCAAGGTTTAAATCGCTGCTTTAATTAAAAAAATGGGCTGTGTAAGTTGTCCTTTGCCTCTGACTACACTGTCAATGTTCATGTGGGGACCTATCATGCTCTGGCATATCCACATGGATACCAGCCAAAAAGCCAAACAATTCTAGTTCAGTGAAGATACGAAGGAATACAACTCCAGCTGATGCCAATATTTTTAAGGCATTGACTGAGTGAATTGAACTACTTCTATTGTTACAGTGGTGTTTTGAAATTAGCGATAGCTTGCAAAAGGAATCAGGAGTTCTGCCCCATACATGTCTCTCATGTCCAGGTATGTACTTCAGGAACCTATGCAGGCAAGCTTTGAATATAAAGTAGTGGCAATCAGGCTATGACCCTAAAAGTGCAGTCTCTGACATTGTCTTGTTACACCAAAAGCAAAAAGCTGGTGCATATAAAGAAATTTCATTATTCTCAATCTAGGATTTAAAGGCTTTCCAAATACAGATGCCATGCCAGGATCAGGCTCATTTCATCACCAGAGTTTGTAGAAACATACTGTGAAAAGTGGCTGTTTTCTCTAGCTCCCTCACACGGAAGAGCCTAAATTTCTATCAGTGCCTGTAGAAGATATTCCTTTTTTTGTGTTTCTTACTAACTCTTAGCTGAACAATTTACCCTGGCTTTGCGGAGCGTCATTAGTTCCTGAGACAGAGCAGACAAGAGGATTGCTGTTTCACGTTTCTCTTTTCTTTACAGAACTGAGAAACTTTTTAAAGGGATCCAGTGAGATCTGAATTTAGTAGCCATCTCAGAGGAAAAGGGTTAGTAGTAGACAGTAAACCAATGATGTATAGGCAGTAAAGTTTCACTGGAAACATCAGCTCAGACTAAGTTCAAACTCCACTGATGTCAACTACCTTCACCTAGAAGCTGCGTGAATTCACACACAAACACAAACACACACACACACACACACGCACACACACACACGGGGTTTCTTAGCAGTAGGTGCCTATAAGATTACTTGGTGCCTTCCTGCAGATCTTTTTGCAGAGCAGATGGTAGACAGCCTCTGGTCAGGACTCAAAATTGCATACAGCTCAAAACTGCTTTTTTTCACTAGTTAATGTCGCTGGGCTTAAGTATTTGTCACTAAATGAGCTCATTTATGCATCCATTATAGGCTTCTGCATGTCAGCAGGAAATGAACCCTCAAAGGCACTGACACCTCTGCTTGTACCACTGTTCAAGTACTGCTGTGATTACTGCAAAACAGGTAATTGGCAATCATAGGACACATGGCTCAGTACTTCCATATTCAAATACTGCTAGAATAAGATCATGTTTGTCTGCTTCATTCATCATTAATAGCAGTAATATTCCTGGGGCCTTAGACACAAAAGCACAAAAAAGTCTGTCAAAAGCATTAGGTAACTTCCTCATCACATCTTACCTCTTGCCAGCACATCTGCACTCATGATGTGATGGGGATCATAGGAAATTATCCTACTATTAAATTGATACAGTTCATGTCCCAGCCCTGAAGCCTCCCTCACCACAGGCACTGTGTAAGTAGCAGTCATATCTTCGGGTCATAAGTGTGAAGGGCTTTGGGAATGGGGAAATCTTGCTCTGTGTCATACAGCTCACCTTTCTATTCTTGAAACAAGATAGCTGCACTGACCTTGCAGGAGGAAGGAGGCAGCTCTGAGAGGTCTCAAGAATATTTCTATGGTGCAGGTAGGCTGGGAAAGAAGACACTATGAGTAGTAATTGAGCAGCAATGGAATTAGCAATGGAATTCCAGACAAGCATCTTGTCTACACCGGCATGGTAAACAGACACAGGCATAGGGAAAGCTGAAGGTAAGGAAAATGATGCCTTCTCTTCATCCATCTATCAAAACAATACACATTGCCAGCTTGAGCATGACACAGACCTGGAAGAATAAAGTGGTGGGAGTCTGTTTAGAAACAGCACTACTTCTTAAATCTATTTCCAAATTACTAAAACAGACACTTTTCAGCGAGTGAAAACAATCACTCTGTGACACCTCTTGAGTTATCTCAGTTTGGTAAGAAACTGGTTTAGATAGTCCATGTACACAAAGGTTTAGGTCTGATTCAGCTAAGTCAGTTAATAAGCACATGAACAAGGACTTAGTAGTTAGATGCAGGGAACTGTACTAACTTCACTGAGAATATTTCTGCTTTCATTTCCTTTCCAAGCCAAGATATCTACTGGTCTCTGAAAGACATATCTCAGTTATTGGCTTCCTGGCTTTTAGAAGTTGTTTTTGGGAAATGGACTGACTTTTTTGTGCTATTCCCAATCAAGAGTTGATGAATTTCTGCTCAGGGAAAGTAGGTAGTCTAAGCCTACATGATAGGATTACCAAGGAAAAAATAAGAGAATTACAGTAGCTTTTTGGGGGTTTTTTTTAGCATTGATTTTAGTCAAGACATTGTAAATTTCCTAATTATATTAACAGAATGTGTAATTAGAGATTATGCTAAAGCTAGAGTTTACAAGAAAAGACATGACCTTTTCGATATATCTTCTAAAATGTTCTCAGGCTTGGCCTCAGGAATTGCCCAGTTCTACTGTGATAGGTACAAAACTTGCCAATATTTTGATTAAGCAAGGTATTAGTGTGAGAAGGTTGGTACAAAGTATTAATACTGCACTGGTACTGTCAGGAGATCTACCAGACATTCAACAGTGAAGGAACCGAGTTAATAGCAGTTGGGCTTTTAGATTCTGGAAAAAGTAACACAAGATAAAGTTGCACAGGAAAATGCAAGCAGACTCCATGTCCTTGGTGCACTCATACCAAAGTTACACTATGCATTCATCCATCTGTGAGAAACTCCATTGCTATGCTTCAGTACACTATTTTTGGTATTTGAAAGCTAACTTCATATCAGATACCATAGCTGAGTAAAAGCCTCCTTCCCACATGCTCTTTCAGGTTGTAAATTTGGGCCAATGGTTTTTGTGCAAGTTTTTACACAGGAATGAAGGGCAGATACTGATGGACTAAACTCATCCTTGCCAAGCAAACTGGATCACAGCTCATGCTGAGCCTTGCAAGAGTAATGAATTTTATAGGGTTCAGGCATGCAAAATGCCGAATTCCTTCAAGGAAGGCTTATCTTCCTGAACTCTATTAACCTTGGTTCTTAGGCAGAGCTTTTCACCCTCTTGCTAAGAAAGTCAGACCTGTGAACCAAGCATTACCAGGACTTAAAGTTGTGCTCAGTCCTTCAGGATCTTTATGCTCTGCACAAGATTGTGTCCATTGCTGTAGGTACTGCCCTGAGGAAAGAGCTCCACATGGAAGTTAGCTGAGAGAACTGAAGAGGGAGGGAGG